TTATTGGGCCATTTAACTGCAACGCCCACGTCTGTGTGTTGTATGGGAGTGAAAGACACAAACTCGTAAAGCACTTTTAAAAAGTGTGATGCGTTGCACATACGCACATAAGAAGGGGAGGGTGGGTTCACGAAGGCCTGCTAGACCAAGAAACCCAAAACAAAGGGAAGTGGTGGTGGGACTGGGAGGAAGTCATGACATAAATTACTGTTGGCATCTATTCCCATTACACTAAATCTGAGTGTATGAATGTTTGACATTGTCTCACCAGAGACTTAACTGGAAACTCACTGAAGCGTGTTCTTCACAAGGTCTCAGGCGATGGGAGACAGGAGGGGGATTTTTCACTTTGGGCAGGCCTCAAGTTCATGTTGAATGCCTTGCAGTGTGTCCTTAATGAGGGAGAGAGAAGATTAGCCTGTTTGCTCACTGGGGCCTCGAGATTATACGATAGGATGATAAGATATGTCTGAGAGAGTGGGCTTCCAGAGAGGACATGGAGCGAAGGGTTTTGGCAACAAGCCTGATGTTTCAGTTAGATTTTACCAGAGATAGCATGAAGGGGAAAGGTCAAAGACGAGATTCAGTCACAAGTTGTGCTATCGTCTGCCTTACTTTGGTTTCTGGTCTTTCATCAAGGCGAGAATATAGATTAAATCCTTTCTGAAAATCAGTAGGTGCATGGATTGATCTTCGCACTGAGAGCAGCAGGGTGGGTGCAGCTATTTGGTCTACAGTACGCGCTGCATTGTATGGCATGTGAGTGTTTTCTCCCAAGAGTCTGGAGGTAATGCAATCACGTATGAAATGAGACTCATGTGGCCAGCTAACGACACAGCCATGTGAATACATGTGTCATTGATCAGTGTCAGCAGCCAAAAAGATCTCATTGGGGATAGAAGACAGAAGGTCTCAGTCAATGCTCTGCACAATCACTTGTATCCCCCAGGCGTGAGAAGTTATTCTCACATGGAAAGTATATGACATGGGAAGAAATAAATGTTTTAATTCTGCATGGAGCAGAAAGCATGGTGTGAGGTTTGTCACTTTTTTCATGTTATGGTCATTATCATTATCAAGTCTTTTTGATTAATTCTGATAGTGAGAGAGAGACAGGCAGAGGAGTTACCTGGTGAGGTACAAAGGTGCCCAGCAATGATCTCTTGTAATAAAACGTATAATACACAACATTTAAAGTAAGCATTATGATAGTGGTTCTCAATGTGGAGGTCATTGGATGATTTAATGGGATATTCAAAACAATATTTTTTGAGTTAAGGTTGGCAGAGGTTTTGTCTTACAATTCATAATTATAATTTCATGTCTCACACTCACTGTTGTCTATTTGTGTTTTTCACTTAGCCTCTTCTTCTGCTGCATGGACAATAGTTTGTAGGAACTGTTTTTTGTGTGTATTTGTGATGTTTCAAAAACACTGGATCATCTCATACTTAACGGGGACTGTCGTATAGTTTGGGGGGGCACATTTATAAAGAAATAAGATAAAAGCGCTTATTCTCCTGGACTCACTATTACATGTAAAATGTGTGGAATTTCCCCTAAACTACATTAAACATGCTTCTCCTTTGAACTGAAGGCTTGTCTCCTGTTTGGGTCCCGAGCTTCCCTCCCTTTTCGTTGTGGCACAGGGTTCGGTTGCCATGGCATCCAGCAGGGTATTCATGCAGTGTATGACAATGAGTGTAATGTCGGTGGCCCGGTCTAAGATTACAGGAACACAGAGGCCTGTTCCCCCCGGAGAGAAGATGGTTACAACCATGAACCCCCCCCGAAGGTCACGCCTGCTAATGTTAGACTCAATAAACAATAATCCCCTGACTATATTACACCATCTTTTTCCCACAAACAATCTGCTGTAGGTGTGTTTTTTCAGTACAGCTTGAAGAAATCATGTGAGCAGGTGTTCACAGGATATTCTGCTTTAAACCGGGACATAGTCAGAGAGCATGACAAAAAACGCCTCTGTTCAAAGACATCTGGGAACTCAATTTGAGGAGGCGGTGATTTCAGATAACTTTATTGATTTCTTGTGATTCAAACATTAGTTATCTGGATCCCCCTCCGGCCTATCCCTGCTGACCTTTTGACTGTTGTCTGTGGTTATAGGCGGTTGCTATGTGGACAGCCTGGCGGACATTCCTATAGGAAGTTGACAACAATGACTAGCTAAGTCAGCAGCAGTAATTCACTGCCCAGAGAGACTACTATTGAGATATCCGCTCTGAGGTTTTGTCAGATTAGCGTCTTCTGTCATAGCCGAAAAAGGCAGATGGCTTTCTTTCTTTTTCTTTTAAATCCCACCATGTGCCATAGGATCAGTTATATAAAGAAAGACCCCTGTCTGTGAGTTTATGAGCCTTAAGTGAGCTCACTGTGCCGATAATTGTTTTTTACTGACTTTGCTTGATTTAGTTCGTTCTGAGGATACAACTCTGCAAGAAAGGCTTTACATTGAATAAATAAAGTTTTTAAAACATTCTACTAACTTAACGACAGCGTAAGAAGCAGTTTGATTAAACAATTTACTGAGGAAAAAGCAGCTCAGATTATGCAGTTTTCAACACCAATACTCCAGTACTTTATTGGGTGGGTAAAAAAAGTTTTCTGTGAAAATGTGGGCTACTTTTTGTTTCATTTGAGGGGTTTTCACTAATGATAAGTTAGGCTTTATTCCAGTAAAACTGCCCCCTGTTTTTTCTCTTATTAGTATTATGGTGATTTTCTAAAGCATATCAGTAGGATTGGCTTGACATGCAATACCTGACCATCAAAAACAAATTTCAATTTATCACAAGTAGGATTTTTTCCTCTTTACATATTATCCAGTCGATTATTATGCTGGTTTGAGGCTATTTATTGGGATACTTTTCATAAATAAAATCTTGCAACACTGTCTTTGATGCTTCATGGTAGTAATAATCCATATGTGCACACCAGAGAAGTGGTACATGTGCTTGGTATGTGTGTGTTCTGTCATGCTTCAACATGGCAGATATTTGATTAGTTGTTTATTTGCCCTTCCTTGGACATAAGTGGTTCAAGTGTGAGGGTTGTAAATGTTTAGTTTACATAAAGTGTGAGCTTGGCAGTGTTTTCATTGAATGCCCTAGGGTTGATGGGAGAATCGGTCACATTCACACATGCCACATGTTTGAGCTTTATTCCCACATTCATACACAAAGTGTTGTGGTCAGCACAACTGGAAATTTGGGGAAAATGTCCCAGTCAATAACAGAAAGAAGTCCTGACTGGCTATATAGCAATCATTAATTGTATGTGTGGCATTTCTTACACTCACATTGCATTGTGAGGGTACTGGAAATACTATATCAGATCTAGCAGGTAGATCACTGCACACATCTTGTGTCATGTCCCTTCTTTTACCCGCTAGTGCCCATTAAGGAGGTGTAGCTGATTAACTTAAACCAATGTTCCAGTCCTGTGCGTAAGGTTATGGGCATGCCCTTGTGTCTGCTCTTCCTATGAAGGGAGTTTGTGTTAACTCAGGCCAGATGCTAATCATTCATCAGCAGTGGGATCTGGTTTGTTTTGGTGCTCTCACTTAGCTCACTTGTCTTTAGTAGACATTACTCTTTGTGCTCTCTATATATTTTTTAAATAAGTCAAACAGTCAAAATGTGTGCAACTGTTTTAATCAAAATGAGCTTTGTAAAATAAATAACAGTTTCATAAAGGCAAACCTTTCTCAGCTTGCCTTTTATATTATCCCTCATGGGTTTGTAATGCCCTCATTCACATTCTTATTCTAACCATAACCTCAATATCTAAGCTTAACCTAAACATAAATATTACAACTAAAACTTGCCACCTTAAAGCTTAAATTTGACAATAGACATTTCTAATATTTTTGCCTAAACACAATCTTCCAGATTGTGAAGACAGTAACAGCATTTCTGCCAATTACCTGAGTGGGATCAAAGGTTTTGTATTGGCAATTGACAATGGTGCTATCTTTATTACCTTTTTGGAAATGTTCCTTTCTTCCTTTTACTAATTGAGTTTGAACAGAAGTCAGATGTTACTTTTTAGTTGCCTCACATTGTGGTAAATAGGGAACTCTATTAAAAAAACAAGATATGTTTATTACCTGTGTTTTGTCTAAAACATAGATAAGAGACATTCATGTTTTCAATCATAACCAATTACTTAGACACAACCGTGCCAATGTCACGTTTAGTTTTGCTGTCTGAGTCTTTGTGGCTTTAGTATCTTAACCCCTCCTGCTCTCTTCAATTTAGGCTTTACACAAACATTTTTTCCCTGAAGCAACTTAACCACTGCATGTTGCTTGAATGACGTTACTCAATGTGTTAATCCTGTGAAACTCTGCGATTGTTTTTGAAACTAATAATACATCTTTGAAATGTCTGGTTGTCTTTAAAAGCAGCTTAGTTTTATGATTTAAACGCCTTGTGGCTTCTGCCTAATAGGCTCCCACAGTCTGCTTGTCACACTGTCAGCCTGCTATTGTACAGATTCTTATGTGGGGTATACATTTAGAGAACAAGTTTTATCCTATTATTATAACTATAAGACAAATGTTTTCTAAGACTATCTGTGTTTTTTTCTTAGTCTCTCTCACTTTCGGATACATGTTTGTCTAAGGGCACCTCCTAGACATGTCGGGCCGTATGATATGGAGGGCAGGATATCTGATCTGCCCAGCAGGCAGACCTGTGGTCATTTCTCTGGGGGTAATGGAATTTCGTGGTCTGTCCCAGTACTGATGGAATTTCAAAAGCAGTCAGGCATGGTTCATATAACTCTCATAAATAGACCACATCGGTCATGATTTAGAAGGTGGTTAGGAAAGGAATGTCAACTTTAGCACTCTGAGATGTTTTCACTGGCAGCACAAGTCGGAGAGAGACCTCTCTTACCCAGGTGTGTTTGTGTGTACTGCAGCAGGCCCACCTGTTTCACTCAATAATATGGTGGTGTGTGTGTTTGTGTTTCAGGTGATCTGTCCCCGGTGCAGATGTCCCCTGTCCCCCAGTCCCAGTTCATTCCCTTGGCCGAGGTGTTGTGCTCAGTCATCTCCGATATGAACTCCTCTCAAATCATCGTCAACCAGGAAGCACTTATCAATTACATGAGCAAAGCCCACCCAGGTAATCCATATGAACTGCTTTCTTGTTAAAGGGATGGTTTTAAATATTTGGTACATGTGTTTGAAGTGTATCCGTTCTTGTATCTTCGGTTAATAAGTAAATATGAAGCTTACGCCATCAGCCTGTGAGCTTAGGTTAGCAAAAAGACTGGAAACAGTTGCCCTGTCTGAAAATGAACAAAATCCAACTACCAGCAACTACTTAATCTTAATTATTGTTACATCAAACACTTATCTTTTAGTTTTTTGTTTAATCTGCACAAAAAAACAAAGTGTAAAGACGACATTTTGCTGTTTTACAAGGGGAACTATTTATTTTGTCCTGCTGTAATCTCTGTTGTAATTTTCTCTGCAACATATTTGTTCTGTATTGTTTTAATTAGTGATTTTAGAGGTGCTTGTTGAATGGTTTTACCATATGACAGAGCTAGATTAGCTGTTTCCACATTTTCACTCTTTATGCTAAGATATGCTAATTGGCTGTCAGCTTTAGGTTCTTATTAACTGAGATGTGAGTGGTATCTATTTTCTCATCTTATACTCAGTCAGAAAGCAATTTTTGTCAACCTTTTGCTTGAAGATATTGTATGCTTTCAAATCTTATTGATTTGCCCCCCCTGCTTGTCCTTTTAACACTATTTTCTCTTTCTATGTCCCAGGGATAACCATCCCTACTCAGGACATCCTCTACAATGCTCTAGGAACTCTGATCAAAGAGCGCAAAATTTACCATACAGGCGAGGGCTACTTCATCGTCACGCCTCAGACCTATTTCATCACCAACACCATGGTCCGAGAGAAGAACTGGTGGACTTCTGGTTCAGCGGATGACCATCCCTCTCCACCTCCCATTACGTACCTGTTGAGCAATGACGCCTGTATTGAGAACACTCAAACGCTGCCAGTGGCTCACTGCAAGTCTTGCAGTTGCTTCAGCCCTCTCCAAACTCCCGCTAATATTGCCTCCACCGCTGTAACAGCTACTATCCCTCCCTCTACTGTCCCAGACCAACATTCAGTTTCTTTTTCAATCAGTGAATGTACAGGCAAGAGCTTAAAGTGGCCCAGACCATTAGATCACAAACCTACAGTGCAGCATCAGTCCACCTCCACAGCGGCAGATTGTCAGGCGAGTGTAATCAGCAAAACGACGGCCACAAGTAACGCCACTAGCCGCAAAGAAAAAGACACCAAGCCAGGGAGGAAGTTTGGTCTCAGTTTGTTTCGGAGGAATGGCGGTAAAAAAGAGAAACCAAAGAAGGAGTATGCATCGTTTTCAGCCCAGTTCCCTCCAGAGGAGTGGCCAGTAAGAGACGAGGAGGACCTGAATAACTTGCCCCGTGATCTGGAGCATGCAATCATCAAACGCATCAACCCTGAACTGACTGTGGACAACTTGACGCGCCACACGGTCCTAATGAAGAAGCTGGAGGAGAGGAGGGAGAGAGGGATAGAGAGGGTGTTGGACAGGGTTATTGATAAAGATGATAAGGGAGTAGACAAGGGAATGTCTACTGAGATCCTTGCCTTCTCAAAACCCAGGCATCATCACTCCTCTAAGGCTGGGAAAAGGTCTGCTCAGAAGGCCTCTCGCAGCAAGAGGAGGGCACATTCCTCCAGAGACAAGCAGAAGGAAAGAGAGAAGGAGCGGGCGAAGAGTAAGGCTCCCATGTGTACGGAGGATTATCTAGAGGGGGAGGATTTGATCCCTGCACGGCTCAGAAGGGAAATCCCTGTTGATGAACCAGATCAAGTGGAAGAAGGTGGAGCTGTTGAGGGGAAATCTCTTTATAAGAAGCGCATCGAAAACCCTTTCCAGGCTCATCCAATCAAGGAACCTGAGCCTATTATTCATGTCACCACAAACAAAGAGCCAAGAAGACGAGAGGTAAAAGAAAGCAAGGTTTCTGTACCAGGGAAGAAGGATCGCTCAAATCATCGCTCAAAATCGTGGGACCCACATCGAGCCAAAACGATCACATTAGATGTAGAGCATGCAGTAACATCCCCGACGTCTAAGGACAGGTACAACGTTAATGCTGGTCATGTGCTCCAAGCAGACACGAAACTCAACATTGAGCTGCCACTGCAGTACAGTTCAGTTTACCCACAGAGCAGTACGCTCCGGATAGAAGACAAGGTCCGACATCAGAGGGACGAAAACAGCAAGGAGAGCTGGGAGAGAGAAGGAACCAATTTACACGAGCCAGAATACAACTGTGCACCAGACCACAGCCAAACTAAAGATGATATCCTCTCTAACATCCAACAATACTCCAATACCAATGCCATTCCCCCTACTCATCCCTATGAGCCTGTTGTAAATCCCTCACATGACCCAACCCTGCTCTGGCCAAAGCCCTCTTTACAGCGGAAACACTCCCTCAGACTGTCCAACCCACAAAGGGAAGATGTTCAGAGGCCAGAGCTCTCTTCACATCAGCCGGCCTGTGAATCTACAGCCACACTGGAACAACAGGAGATAAGAACCCTCACTATCAGTGATAGAGAGCAAAGGACCATGGGAGAAAGGCCAGAACTGATTGCTGACAGCGCAATAACAGACACTGATGGCTTTGCAGAAGACGACTTCAGGCTCTACCAGAGAGCAGAGGAGGATGATGATGATGATGATGATGATGAGGATGCCTGCAGCTCCTTGTGTCTGAATGAAGAGGAGATTATTGAGTCTGCAAATGTGTTCCCGACAGGTCTAGCTGACTACCAAGGCCATAAGGTGGTTGACCAGAACAATGAGTATGATTTTCAATACCAAAGACCCCATCGTCACTTTTATAATTCCAACTTTCACCAAACACAAGTTGACTCCAAACAAGATTCAAGGGAAAGCACATTTAAAGATTTAATTCCCCAAGCAACTCAGAGGAATTCTTCCCTCAGCCCCACCAGATCTGAAGAGACCATCTGGAGGGTCCATCATCGCCATCAGAGGACTCGATCACCGGGGTCCCAAAGGGAATCTAGCCCCAGACTAGGTGCATCGGTCCAGGGGGAGAGACGACAGGAGGTCAACCTTGATTTGGATTGTCCCGAACAGTCTGAAGTTGCAGACAGTAGCATCTTTGACTACTGCCAGACCAGTGAGATAGAATCCGACAGCGAGACGGTCCGTAAGTCGGGTGATGAGGGCGATGGAGAATCTGCTGACTGGGCGGCTGAGGTGCAGGAGGACGATATTGATGAGACGGATGTTCCTCAGACCCGCAGAGCTGTTCAGAGTCCGCCCAGTGGAGCCAGAGGGGTGGAGATCGGGGAAGCGTTGGAAATTGGGGAGAACCAGAGCATCACGGGAGACAGTGGGATAGATTCTCCTCGGTGAGTTCCTCTCTTGTTCATATCAGCTGTAATAAGATGGTGTGATATCATGTTTGCATTTCATTGTGACCTACTTTGAGTCTGGGGGGTATCTTTTCCAAGGCATTGAACTGACCGATAGGTATATATGAAGAGAAAAAAGGATAAAAACCAGTAACCTTACCCCTTAGCCCAGACACACATTGTTTTTTTCTAGTTTTCACAGCTTAGCCTAAAGACTTACCTGTTAACTGTGAGCCCACACCAGACTATCCCACGGCATACTGGAGGAGCTTTAGTGACAGGCAAAATAAACACTGTACTGAGGTTAGTTAACCTCTGGGTTACATGTCTGTGGTTGGCCTTCCTCCCAATTTGTGTTTTTTCCTTTAAAGTAAGCTGAACAAACACCTTGTGTCCAATTAGAGTGTGCAGTATTTGGACAGGAGGGAGTATTTTTTTATAATAGAGTGTAATTGCAGTAAGGCACTTAAAATTCGTATGTTATAAATCAAAGAGGAACTTCTCGACATTGAACTCACTGTGCACCCCCGGTGTGTGGGTGGACAGATGGGGGGCATGGACACGTCAACTTGTTCAAATGGTATATTTATAGAAAATCTCAACCTCATGCCTTTCTTTTTCCCCCCTGCAGGACCCGTGTCAGTTTGGCCTCCAGCAACACTGTCATTCTGGAGGGTCTGAAGAGAAGAGGCTTTTTACAAAACTTGGAGAAACTCCATTCCAAGAGCAGCGCCATTCGCCCGCAGAGCTCACTGCTGCAGCTGACTCCTGTCATGAACGTATAGCAGACCTGAGTCCTCTGTCGTAGTTTTGTGTGGGAGCTGATGGATTTCTTGGCGTAGCTCAGTATGAAAAGGCCTAAACCAAGCTTGACTCTCCAGTTCTATGCAGCTGCTTGGTCAGAAAACATTTCCAAAAAGGAAGGTTTGCACTTTGTTGCCTACCTTCACATATAAATACCTTCTAAAACAGGGCTCTGTGTACAAATGTAAGTATATATATTTCTTTTTGTAAATAATTTTAAAGGTAATATGCTATGATTTATTCATTTACAAACTACCTTGTGTATGTCCGGTTAATTTCATGGTTTATGATAGCCTTTTCTTGTGATACAAATGTACAGTTTCCATTGGTTAAAATGTCTATAAAAGAAATAGCATTTTCTAGCATTTACTTATTTCTTTGATCATGTAGCAAGTTACTACAAATAAAAATGTATGTCAACCAAGGTGTCTTTTTGTCCTATTAGTGTTTGTAAAACAACATTTTCTATTAATAGAAGAATAAAATGAGAGATGTATACCTTGGGCCTGAGAACTGCACTGCAAGAAATAATAAAACATATTATGCAAATAGACTGAGCAAAAACCAATAGATAACACATTCACAGCAATAAGAAAAAGTAATGCAAAAGGCTCAAAACACAATGGAAACTGTCGGGTATCTTGGACATGCTGCAATGTATGTAGCATAAGTTAGTGAAGATGGGAAATCACGTCCCGTGCTTCCCTTATTTTAACATGATCATAATCATGATTCTGATTATTATTGCTGATATCTGCTGTTAGCCCAGCATTTCATTTTGTCTCATTATTAAGCGAGAACAGGGTTAGTTTGAATCAGACCTCGCTCCCTAGAGGGTGCTGTTAAACATATTTTGTACTGAAATGGTCTAAATTGGGGTTCACCTACAGGCAGATTTCAGGAGCAAGACACGTGAAGGGAGAAGATTTTTAAGTGATTTTGTGTGAAAATGTACTATTTCGAGGCCTTTTGTGTCCAACCTCTTGGCTTTACAAAAAAAGTGTGAAGGAAGAGCTGTAGTTTAGTTTCTAAACCAGGCTTGAACAAGTGGTTGTTAGTTTAGTTGCTTGCAAAAAATCCAGTTGAAGTATCTTGTCACATTCTCTTCAGGGTTGGGTTTCACCATTTGAAAGGGAGAAAATATGTAGAGGGATACAAAAATGCTTTGATGGAAAAGTTTTCTGTTTATGTTCTCTCAATGCCGAACATGTCTTGGACTGTTGCATTTTAATGAAATAAAACATGGAGTCAACCAACCCCCCCGAAAAACAGTACATAACTTTTAAGCAGAATCAGCATCGGTAGAGTAAGGTCCCTCCTTTCCTACCCAACTTCTTAAGCGATTGTAAATTAGGATGGATTCTTTTTGAGGGCTTCAAATTAAAGAAAATAAATGACCACCAACCTGTCCTCTTTAATATCTGAATGCTGAACTTGTTGTGAAACTGGTGAAAAACAAAATGTTTTTTTTATTTTCACTGCATTGAGCTCAGAAAGCATTATTGTTGTTACAGCTCTGGAAAATATTAAGAGACCACTGCAGCATTATCAGTTTCTCTGGTTTGACTAGGAATGTGTCAAATGAATGTATTTTTATTTTATTCTATAAACTACTGACTACATTTCTCTGTGTTGGAATGCAGACACATAAATGGAATGGCTGCCATACATGTATAGATTGAGATTTAATAAATATTTAGAATGGTCTCTTAATTTTTTTCAGAGCTGTATACTTTCACTAATTTTTAAAGCATTTGTTTTGTTTTACCCAGTTCAAGAACGTTCTGATTAACAACTCTTAATAACATCAATTTATTATAATCGATTTGTTGGTAGGAGATCTTTGAAGATTTGCATAGCTTCAAACATATCAAGGTGCGATCTTTCGTGTAAATATTCAGTGATGGTGACCAGACATGGTTCTGCCCCCAGAGGTCTGATTGGCTCTTCTTTCTGAAGGTTATTATGATGGTGGATCTTAACCCTGTGTCTCCCTCAATGGGCAATTTAAGTCTGTCCTCCAGCTGTGAAGGAATGTAAACCATTGTGATGTACGGGAAGTAAGCTTTCTGACATTATGTTGATGTTTTCATACTATTCCCAAGAGCATCCACACACAGATCAATGCACACCTTCGGCTGCACTGATTGGTTCAGTGTTGGTAAAATTCCCATTGAAGAGTTGGGGAATGTTCAGGGTCCTAAAACATTACAAATAAACACACTGCTGCCTGCTCCAAGTCTGGAGTTTCCCAATTGAACAATTCTTACTGGTCTTGGTCTTACAAAATATTTGAGACGCTGGTGACACCAAGTGGACCAATTTAGGTAGTGCATAAAGAGTAAATGGTTTACTCCATCTGTAAATGACTTACTTTAGCCATCTCTAGGCTGGGTCAAATGCAGTCTAAATTCACTGTGTGCTGTGCAACATTAGACTGATTTGAAATTAAAATAACCCACAAAGTATTACCACTAGTCGTATTTTCTTCTGTTTTGTGTGCATGATTATAAAAATGAAACATGACCCTAATGATTTATGAATGACTTTTATTTAGCCATGAGGTTAAATACATCTCCCATTTCCAAACTGTACTCCATTGATTAAAGCCAGAAGAGTCAACAACCTTTATTTATCCATATATGTGCCACTCAGAAATTGGGAAGAGATGTTACAGGATTTGCCCTTAGGAGAAGCCTATATGGATAATTTACAATTTTTCTCTCTACAATGAGGCCATTGACAAAAATAAAGGGGAAACAAAAGACAATATGGTCGTAACAGTGTAAACACATGGTAATATACATGAAAGCAAAAAAAAGCAATAGGTATCAGTGACATCAAATTAAAATGTAGGGTAAGTTAGTATGAATAAGAACAAAAGACTGAAAACCCTGAAACTTTTTTCAAATAACAGCTCGGCACACATTTCTACATAGCATGCAATAAGGCACCTATCTAACAAGGAAGAAATCTATGCTACAGTGTGAAGCACAAATGTTAACTAAAAAAGGAAAATAAAATATTGCTCGCTGTAATGTTCACTCCCATAAAAACTGTATATCTCTCATTCCCTTTCATATAACCCAAGCCATATCTAAAAAAATACATCAGTTTGTAAAAGATATCTTACACAGAACAGGTAATAAGAGCGCAACCCATTAGAATTTGGAAAAATCATTGTAAAAGTGAGATTTCCTCCTGTAGTCTTTTAGTATAGTCTTTTAGATCAAATTGTGATAGTTTGCAGAAAGTAAGAGCTACCTATATTCTATACATATTGATTTAGTCTCCAAAGCAATAGACAAAGTGTGATATTGCATTTAATGTACATTTGGTGCAAGGGGTACAGCGGAAACTGCACAGTAAATAATTAGGACACAGGTCTTGTTGTAATATGCTACCCAGTAGGTTTTTTATTTTCTATTATGCATTTCCTAATAACTAAATTGCATGTCATAATAGAATCAGGGTGTCAGCCAGTATTGCTCTCTGTACAGTCGATGCAGCAGCACTAACCCATCGTAGACATACAAGAATACAACCGTATAAATATACAAGATGGCTCATGTCTGATGGGGCCCAAATTCCAGAACAAAGCCGCATGAGAACACCTTCAACATGTTGCTCTCCAACACTTAAAACAAATGAAATTCATAAAAGGAAAAAAAAAAGGTGGAGACAAAGTTGATCAAAGTGGATCTTACTATCAAAAATGTAATCTTTTGGAACAGCACACTAGTCACCTATACACATATATAAAAGAAAATCAGTATTTACATTGGATTTTGGATGTTTGTTACACATGGGTTATGGTGGTGAAAAAGAAATAACAATTGAAATTGAGAAAAGTTTTTTGTTCGCCAAATTGGGTTGGTAGCCTTGGATAAAGATGCAGCTGAAAAGCGCATGTGCTCACCTGAAGGTACATAAACCCAATTCTCATCAAAAAGACCAACAGAGGGGGAGGCATATTTTCCCCAGGTAACAATTATTTTAGATCACCAAATCACAATTATTTTTTTATTTTAAAAGTGTTCAAAAGAGGTCCTGAAGTGAAGCACAATCACTAACAAGAATAGAGGCTCCTTCACAATCTATTATTATACCCTTTGCATACTGAGCGCAAAGTCCCGGGTTCTGCTCTGAATTACAGGCTACACGGTCCGTTTTACACCTGAAGACTTGTGTTACTGTCGATTTATTTGCAGCCACTCCACTTCAAAGCGGACATGACCACTGTTGTCTCTATAAGTTGGCCTGACATTTGGTGTGGTGATGTCAATGATGGGACCATTAGTAGAACAGAAACAGAGGGGGGAGATGGGGGTTTTACTCTCGAATGGGACAGCTTGTGAGGGCGGGAGAGGGTGCTCACTGGTCTACATGGATCCTATGATGTCTGGAAAGGGAAGATGAATGGTTAAAGCCTTTTCCACAGTGGGAGCACCTGTATGGTTTTTCAACGGACAGGCTGCGCTGTTTTGGGAAGGCGTTGTTGGGGAATCCCTTCCCTGTGGGGATGGTGTTGTACTGCTGCGGCGGCGATTGTGGTGGCTGGGGCTGCTGCTGCTGCTGCTGTTGTTGTTGTTGTTTGCTCTCCAAGTGAACTCTCTGGTGCCTGGCGAGGGAGGAGGAGTGATTGAATCTTTTGCCACAGTGAGCGCAGGTGTAACTCTTTCCCTCCGAGTGGACTCTTTGGTGCCGGGACAGGGAAGAGGAATGATTGAAGCCCTTATCACAGTGATGGCACATGTAGGGCTTGTCTCCCTGCTGGTGCACCCTCTGCTTTGGGGGAGTGCCGTAGGACAGGGTTTTCCCAGGTTGAGGTGGAGAAAACACTGGATTCTGCAGATGGGTCTTGTGGTGGCGAGAGAGAGAGGAGGAATGATTGAAGCCTTTGTTGCAATGTCTGCAGGTGTAGGGCTTCCCTCCGGCATGGACTTGCTGGTGCTTCTTCAGATGGCGTTTGCGGACAAAACTCTTCCTGCACATGTTGCATTTGTACGGCTTCTCGCCCGAGTGGATCCTCTGGTGCTCTCTCAGAGTGGCAGCAGCCGCAAAACACTTTCCGCACTGTGCGCATCGGTGGGGTTTGTCTCCGAGAACGACTGCAGCGTGGGTCTTCTGGTGCTGCTTTAGGTTGGAAGTTGTGGCAAAGCCTTTGCCACACTGGCCACAGGTATATGGCTTCTCTCGTGCATGGACCTCCTGATGCTTTTTCAGATGCCTTCTGCGGACAAAGCTCTTCCTACACTGAGTGCACTTGTAGGGCTTGTCCTCTGAATGCATCTTCATGTGTTCTCTCAGGGTGATGGCAGCGGCAAAGCTCTTACCGCACTCCGAGCATCTGTGGGGCTTGTCTGGCAAATGAATCATCTGATGAGACTTGAGACTGAAGGCATCGATAACATCTTTGC